GTGTGTGAGCGCTTGGCGAGTCCTTGGGGCATCTCAAGTGAGCAATGGCAACTTCGCACCTTCAGCAGTCCCCTCAAGCAGTAATTAGTGGGGAATGTCATGATGCGGCAACGTTATGCCGTCTATAACTACTCATAAAACAAGGTCAAACATTCTCGAATATGAGAAGGGGACCTCCAGAAACGCACAAACGGTACAATATGTGCACTGTCGAACATTATGTCGTAGCGTTTCTCGCAAAATCGCTACGACATAATGTTGGACAGATCCGGGATTCTCTGCAAGATGGATGCGTTCATAATGGCAAAGAGACAATACTAAGAGTACTGGTGTTGAATATCAAACAGCGGGAAGGACTTGCTAGTTCAATTAAACAAGAAAAGTCGAGTAACGAAGCTATCTTCAAATAAGTATTGTATTATATAGTAGCAGCAATACACATACAAAATTGAATAGAATAACGAGAGAGTACTGCATTCCGATTGTATCTTCACAAAGTCATGATGTAAGCCAACTGTGAAAAAAGCGTTTTATGATCCCATATGGTCATAGAAGTGCGCTCTTCCAGCAAGCAATCACCACAGAAATGAGCACTTCTATTCACTTTTATAACTTACCGTGCTTATGTCTCTGATCAATACAGTAGTGAATATCAAGCAGAGTAATGCTGCGAAGATGCTAGCTGATAGTAGTAGCATGGTAGCAGTGAAATACAGAATAATAGCCGATTCCAGAAGACAAATACAGCAGCTAATCACCAGTGAAAGAAGCGAAGGCGCGTGTCCGCAATTTGGCGTTTGTCGTGGCGTGCTCCAGTGCAGATCGATCAATTACGAAAATCTGGCCTGGCTGGTAATTACGGCCGATACGTCCCATTGGCAATAATGCAACGAAGACCGCGCCTTACGACCGCCTCCCGGATCCGGCACACCGAGCCCAAAATCAAATCAAAATGATAATTTCTTACTTTGTTTTACTCCTTTTGTTCTGTTTGAGTTATGTCAATCACTTTGCGATATGTCGCTCGAGCTTAGAGAGCGCTGTAGGCTTCTCGACAACGCCGCGTCTCTGTACTTCAGTTAGTACCGCTGTTGCTCGCGCACTCTCCAGCACTCTTGACGATGGCGCGAACAAAACTCATGATCACTGCCTTCATTTCAAGCTTGAGCGCTATTTCGCTGTTGCAATGGTGCCACTGTTTCCTGTTACCTACCTCATTCATAGCCTTTTCATGGACGCAGTGCTAACTGTTGCGCTCAAGTCGTCAATGATTACGCTCGCCCATTTGTGATTGGGGATACACTTGTAAAGACTGCTCGGGCTTGCATTTATATCATTACGGCTGCTCGTATCGCAAGCCTTCATTTCAACAACAACGGCGTAACCAATGCGCTAAATTTTGCTATCGACGAAACGAACCTAGTGAGGAAATAGCTGTTTTCGTGAGAGTTATGTCAAGTGAGTGTGCGCATAATATATGCATTGATTGCAATAAGGTAGAGCGACAATTTATCGTCATGAGGGTATTCGAAATGCATCGTTTGGGTCAACAACAGGGCGGCGCATTGAGAGAAATTGATAGGATGTTTAGGGAACATTTGTTGTTAAGAAAATTCTTTCATGATGCTTTATGTTGATGTTCGGGTTTATGTTGTTCGCTAATGTATATGTTTTACGTTGATAGTTTGTTTCTTCGTTTAATTACCCAAGTTTGAGGTAAAAGAGAATAAATAATTCTCTGAAGTCGTGTCCGTGTCGGTGAAGTCGAATACCGCGTGGCAGTCGCGAATATCGGTGAAGTTGTCGAATTTATTTTACTTCTCACCATTGCCAACATTACTTGAGTTTGGGAACTCCGTTTGCTGGAAATACTGGTGTTCTAGAGGCGATAAACTCGGCTGACGTCCTTTTACCATCATGTTAGATTTCGCAGCATTTCTCATTCTAAGGTGCTATCCAGGTGGTTGAAATATGGCAGAAAATAGGAGAGGTCTAGTGAGTGTGACGTTTGTCACATAGGATCAGTACTTCAGCTAGTTCATTTTTTGCAAGGTCGCTTCTGCGGTGATCGGCTGTGGT